ATTTATTCTATTCTATTCTATTCTAGCCTGTTATCCTTCATCTTCCATTCAGCTGGAATCCAGTTACTCTAGTTTTAACATCAAACTCTTATTCTCAAGATACCTAGTTTGTCAGAGATACAGAGGCCATAAGTCCCAATTTTGCAAGAGCAGTTTCAGTTTATGCCTGTAATCCAATATAATTATTAATAGGGACCATTTTCACTCTTAAAGGTCTTGGTCCAGACAGTTATATGTTTGCCTAGCCATAGAACACATAGAAGGTGTTTCTTGTCTCTACCACAGGTATAGACAAGGGAGTACGTATGTGGATTGAGGTGCTTTTTTCTTCATGATTGCCACTATTCTTGCTTGACTTATAATAATTTAAACATAGTTTCCTAGTCATTGTCATTGACTGTAGAACTGACCATCACTGGGGTAACCTATGGAAACTCATCTCATATGTCTGTATCCAGGTTCCTCTTTTGGTTGAAGTTTTTGGTATAGAGGGAAATATTTTCAGGCTTAAAATCAATGAAGAAACTCCCCTGAAGCCCAGGTATGAAGTTCCGGATGTCCTCACAAGCAAGCCAAGTACTATAAGGTAAGCTAAGGATCAATATATCTCTAATACACCCTCAATATGTTATTTTATCTTACCTTGAGTAGTAGATTTTGTATGTACCTCATGGAGCAAATGGTTGATCAACCAGACTTTTGGGAGCAAGTAGAAGAAGAGCTATTTAATTTACTCACTCAAATTAACAGCAGGGCTCCAGAGATCTAATACACTAACCAAACTCCCATGCTTATAGTTAGATTGACTCAGGTTTAATTAAGGGTAGTCTTAGAAGTGTAACATGTAATTTGACTTAGAGGCAGAGGTTAATGAATAATCAGTGTCTAGGTGAAAAAAATCTTTGGGAATTAAAGCATTTTCACGTACCTGTAGAATCTTTATCACTTCTCAGCACTTTCCAGTGATATTTCAACTTGGTTCTGCCTGTTGTTTTCTGTTATTTTTTTTCATATTATTCCCCTAAAGGAATATAAAATTATGTTAGATGCTTTAAATTTTCACTACATCATCATAGTTTTATGTAGATTATTTTCCCCATGAAAAATAATTTCCATTATTTCCATGAAAATAAAAGATCAATAGATTATAAGGAGAAGTTCATTGTTATGGTAGAACCATCATAAATTTAAAATATGTCAATTCATTGAGCCACTACTATATGCCAATATTTAGGAAACAGCAGGAATTAAAAAGAAAATGTTCACAAGGCTTTGCACTTTGGCAAATGGGTGTATATTTAATACACACACACACACACACACACACACACCCCTCCACTTGGCCATTATATTATTTTTTACTATCCTGGAGGATTCACTTTACTAGTAGATCATTTAACATTTTTACATTTGTATTCATAAGTAAAATTAGTCTGTAGTTTCATTTTGTATGTGTATAGTTTCTTTTTTAAATTAAATTTTTTGGGGTGACATTGGTTAATAAAATTATCTATGGTACATCATCTGTATTTTTCATTGTGTGCCCACCACTCAAAGTCAGATCTTCTTCCATCATCATATATTTGACTCCCATTACCCTTACTACCCCTTTTAGTCCCTTTCCTTCTGGTAGCCACCATACTGTTGTTTGTGTCTATGAATTTGTTTGTTTATTTTTTGTTTATTTACTTGTAACTTTCAGTTTTATATCCCACATGAATGAAATCATATGGTTCTTGACTTTTTCTGACTTATTTCGCTTAGCTTGATATTCTCAGGATCCATCCATGTTGTCACAAATGGCAGTATTTCATCTTATGGCTGAGAACTATTCCATTGTATATATGTCCCACATCTTCTTTATCAAATCATTTGTCGAAGAACACTTCAGTTGTTTCCATGTCTTGGCCATTGTGAATAGTGCTGCAGTGAACATAGGTGTGCATATATCTTTGCAAATAAATGTTTTGAAATTTTTTGGGTAGACCCAGAAGAGGGGTTGCTGGGTCACATGGTAACTCTATTCTTAATGTTTTTTCATACTGTTTTCCATAGTGGCTGTACCAGTTTGCATTCCTACCAGCAATGAATGAGAGTTCCTTTTTCTCCACAACCTCTCCAACACTTATTACTTGCCTTGTTGATAACAGCCACTCTAACAGGTGTGAAGTGATATTGTAGTTTTGATTTGCATTTCCCTAATAGCTAGTGAAGTTGAGCATCTTTTCATATATCTGTTGGCCATTGATTTGTATATTGTCTTCTCCGGAGAAGTGTTTGTTCAGGCCCTCTGCCCTTTTTTTAAATTGGTTTTGGTGTTGAGTTGTGTGAGTTCTTCATATATTTTGTATATTAACCCCTTGTCAAAGCTGTAGTTTTCTTTTTTTCTTTGCTATCTTTACCATGTTTTGGGGTCAGGGTGATACCAACTTTGTGTAGTAAATATGGTATATTAGTTCTGCTTCTATTCCATTCTCTTTGTAGAAGGCCTTTGGCTATTGCAGTAGCTAGAGCTAGTTTCTGATATCATTTGGGTTCTACCAATCAGATGCATTTATAGGTATCTTGATTTCAGAACTAAGTTTCCTATTTTGCTGGTATGGATTTGGCAGATAGAATGGCTCTAAAGCTACCCTAGTTAGTGCAGTGGTTTCCTGATCTCTGGATTGCAGCTATGGTGGCATGATTCTGGAGCCCCAGCAGTTGCCACAGTGACTTCTAATTACCCACCTTCCTGATTCTAGCTGAGATGGAAGTTCCATTGGCCATACAGTTATGTAGTATTGTTCCAGGGGTCATTTCTAGACACCCAGACAGGAACCTACTACCTCAATCCTTACCATGATGTTGTAAGCTCCTAATTCCCCCATATTAAGTCATATACTTTATGCTTAAAATAGCCAGAGTTCTGTTATCTACAGTTGAATCTTGGTTGATATAGTCAGTGGTATCAGCAGTGAATAGAAGCAACAGGTACTCAAGGATGGGAATATGAAATTGGTTAGCTGATCTAGTTGGATTTGAAGGCCATGAGGACCTAATTATCATTATAGAATAATGATAATTATTAGTGTTGTGGGCCGAATTGTGTGCTCCCTGACAAACTTATGTGTTGAAACCCTAACTGCTTGTATCTCAGAATGTGACTTATTCAGATATAGGGCCTTTGAAGAGGCAATTAAGTTAAAATTGGGTTGTGAGTATGAACTCTAATTTAAATGACTGGTGTCCTTTAAGAAGAGGAGATTAGGACACAGCCGACACAGACAGAGGGATGATCATGTGAGGACAAAGCAAGAAGATGGTCATCTGTGCCAAGGAGAGAGGTCTCAGAAGAAAACAAAACTGCTCACACTTTGATCTTAGACTTCTAGCCTCCAGAATTGTGAGAAAATAAATTTCTGTTATTTAAGCCACCTAGTCTGTACTATTTTGTTATATCAGCCCTAGCAAGCTAATACTACTAGTAATAAACCGCATCATTCCATGACAAAGTTCCTTAAATTACTGCCTATAGTAAATTGAAATAAAATGCCTATTTAAAGCATGGCTGTGGCAGACCAAGTGGTGAGACCATATGGAATTCAAAATTCTGAGGTGGCCTGGCTACTGTGAAGAACTTAAGAAAGAAAGCAGCAGTCTCAGGGCTTTAAATTCTTAGCTCAAGGCATTGTCAGAAACCTAATAGGTTTCTATGACAATCTAAAGTCTCTTATACCTGTTGTAGCTACAAAGTCCTTGTAGCTGAAAATCAGATGCTGAGTTTGATTCCATGATTTGCTGAATTAGACCATAAGGTTGAATTCAGTCTCATTAGGTGAATTTAGGGCATTAACTTGGAAAAAGTGGGACCCCTCAAAATTGAATAGCAACATTTGGGAAGATGTGGATAACTCTGAATACAAACCTCAAAACTCCACCAAGCCTCCCATTCCAGCAGGAGCAGCTCTTTCTTCTCTAAAGCTGATCCTCCCTTGCTTGGACATCCTGTGTTGACCTGACTTAAGATATACCATGCAAGGGGATTCCAGTGCTCCTTGTGCCTCCTACCACCCTTCACTGCTTCTAGACCCACTGTCAGAATCAGAATCCAAAATGCCTAGGGAGCCAAATACAGTTAAACCTGGGAGAAGGCTTATACACCTAAAGAATTTTATGATTTTATATTGGCAAAAACACGGGAAATATGCGTGGAAATGATTTTTCAGGGATTCCTAGACCAGTGCAAGGAAAATAACTTTAGCATCGCACTAAATTCATTTACATGGGTACACGTACCAGAGAATCTAGATTTGATATGCTAGCTGGGAGTGGTTCTAATTATTTGCTTAGTTGGCTACCTGTATTCTGTATTCAGCTATGTTGAACTCTGTTGAATGAAGCTGAGATTACAGAAATTCTTTGACACACTGTGGAAGAAATGATCCATAGACTTAGGGATATAAAGATGTTGAAGTGGAAATATCATATGCAAACAGCTCAGCTAGCCCCTAATTCTGTTCTCCAAGAGGATCCAGAAGACACTCCCTTCATTATACATTAGTGAGGGAACACTGGGAAAGCATTGTAGTGAGCGGAGATCTTTTGCAAGCCATTAAAATTGGCTCCTTGATTTCAGTGGAGATGATGAGACTCCAGGTAGCAGAGTCAAAGTAGCAGCATTTAGTTGTTAGAGACAAGGTAGACATGTTTCCATAATATACAGCAGAGCCTTAATGGTTAAACCCTCAGGGCAGTGAACAATAATATCGAGGGATCTATTAGACTGAAACAGATGGACTGACATCCTACTTGATGGAATGATCAAAAGAATTCTATTTATGTTTAATGGACAGTGAGATAAAACCTCTCAATTCCAAATAGAGTTAGTTTCCAGAACGTGGGGGAGGCCCAGAATTAATGGAGAAGGATATTGTAAGGATATAATAAGAACAAATTATCACTCCTAACCTTCCCCACAGAGGTCTGTGACCACTTAACAGTCTCAGAGTGGCTTCTTCTTTATATCCTTAGTTGTAGGACTTCCATTCAGCTAGATTTCAGGTGGTTCTGAATGATGGGTGTTCTGTAGTTTAGTTGTAGTTTTGATGTGGCTGTGAAAGGAGGGGAGTACCACATTTACCTATGCTGCCATCTTGACTGGATCTACTTATTCTTGCTTTATTATTTCCACTTTACAGATGAGGAGAAGTTGAAAGATGAACTTGTCCAAACTTAGACACCTAGTGCATGGTAGAGCTATGTTCAATCCAGGCTCTCTGACACCAAAGCCCAGCAGTTGTAGCTCTCCATTGCCCTATGCTGTGTGACATGAATATTTATTTACTAATTAATGAATTTGAATTGAGAATTGCATTGAGCCATGTGAATCTGTAGCAATTTGTTTTTCTCTTCCTGCTTTGTTTTCTAGGCTGACTTCTTGCTCAGGGGATACAGGCAGTCTGGTATTGGCAGATGGAAAAGGAGATCTGAAGTGTCATATCACGGCAAACCCATTCAAGATAGACTTGGTATCTGAAGAAGAGGTTGTGATGAGCATAAACTCCCTGGGCCAGTTGTACTTTGAGCATCTGCAGATTCCTCTCAAGCAAAGGTATTTTTGCACATTACTTGACACATAAAGAATTTAAGAAAACCTGATTGTGAATACTATCTGCCTAAATCTATAATATGTCAGTATAGAAAATTGGTTTGCCAAAGAGTCTGGAATGACTGGACAAAGTCAGTCTACATTATTATTAATGATAGAAATTAAAATTGAAATGCATTATCTTTTCTAAAAAAGTTCAGATTGGCAAAGGTTAAAGAAATCCATAAAGTTTAGTATTGTGATGACTAGAGAGAAATGAGCACTCAAATACAATTGTAGGTGATAGAGTAAGTTGTCACAGTCATTTTGGAAGGTAGTGCATTATGCTGCTCTGTACTGCAGTAACACCGGGTGAGGGGAGCTGTGATCCTCCTTGCTTCCCACAGGGGCCAGGGCGGGGATCCAGCCTGCAACCAAAGTATGTTTCCTTGGCCAGAATAGTACCCAGAACCCTTCTGTCCGCAGGCCGATGCTCTAACCACTGATCCAAACTGGCTAGGGCTGATGAAGCTATTGTTAAAAGATTTAATAAGAAAATTCATATATACCAATATTTGTATAAGAAATCAAGCTATTGGGTTAATGTTTATCATAAATGTTCAATTTCATAAACTTATTTTTATAGTGATGTTATTTTTAATATGTTAAAGCATATAATTTATAGGATCTCAAAAGTTGACAATGAAAATCTTTATCATTAAACAAAATTCCATCAGTCTTGCCATGTGTAAAACAATTTTATTTATATTAAAACAGAGCTACCAGAGAAAAGGAGGAGCATGCATCAGTTGACACCTCTCAGGTAATCTAGATTGAACAGTTTGTCTTTTTTTAATCTTCTTAATCTTCATCATTATTGTGTGGTACATAATGTGTCCTGTTCTTTTCTTCTTCTTCAGATCTCTATTGCTCATCTTCTCTTCTAATTGATTCATTCATTTATTTGTTCATTCATATATTTATTCATTTATAAAACAGATCATTCCTGAGTGCCTGCTTTGTGCGAGCCACAAAAATGCTAGGCAAGGGGAGTCCACAGTAAATAAAATAAAGCCTGTGTCTTCATGAAACTTAGAATCTACTGGAAAAGACAAATACTAAAGAATTACAAGCATGAAGAGCATTACAAAAGGGTGCAATAGGAGACTGCAACAAGAAACTTGACCAAGATGGGGTCAGAAAAGACCTCCTGAGGGAAACAATGTTAAAGCTGAAATCGATGCATGAGGATATAGCAGCCAGTCAAAAAGTTGGGAAAAGCACATTCCAGATAGAGTTGAATATTCGAAGATCTTTAGGTACAGAGGAGTACATTTGAAGAAATTAAATACATGCATACACACATATATAACTTTTAGCAGGAGAAAGGACAGCAAAGGAAAGGGTGCTGTGTAACAAGGCTAGAGAGATAGGCAGGGGCAATTCTGTGGAGAGTCTTGTAATAGTTCTCTTATTCGACAAACATTTGGTGAGTACCACCTCTGTGCCTGGCACTGTTCAAAATATTGGTGATATATCACTGAACAAAATCAAATTACCCCATTATCATGGAGCTTACTTACATTTTTCTAAATACCCTTTTTGGACTTTAACCTAAGAGCAAAGGAAAACTATGGAAAAATTTTAAGCAGCAGAGGTACATGTTCTGATTTCTATTTTAAAAAAATTATTTCAGCCAAATTATGGAGAATGGGCATTTTAGAAATCTTTTTTTCTTCACCGAAAGCCATGTGCATCTTCAAAGGACCCCTGACAGTAGCTATGGCCACCAGGAATGGTGAAAATTTTTTATGGTGCAATAAGGACAAATGCTTCTTCCTTTTGAGAACTGACCCATACTGCTGAATATTACAGAGAATACTACTTTTTCATTTCAAACCGAGAAGATCAGGACAACTAAAATATAGCCTTACACAGTTTTGTGTCAGTATGTCAGATCAGCTTTTGGGAGACTTCTAACTAGGTAGTTTAGACAGTGGTTTTGAGACACACAACCCCTTGGGAGAATCTGATGAAAGCTGTGAATCATCTCTATAGTAAATTGTTTTTGGTCATACTGTTTGAGGGGAGTTCACAACTCTAAATATCGTCCATATACCCCAGCATAATAATCCCTACATTAAGAATTCAGATGTGGCGAAACAACATGTTACTAAATAATGATGGGTCAACAATGAGATCAAGGAAGAAATCAAAAGGTAAATTGAGATAAATTAAAATGAACACACAACGATCTAAATCCCATAGGACACAGCGAAAGCAATCCTAAGAGAGAAAGTCATAGCAATACAGGCCTACTTCGAGAAACAAGAAAAATCTTAAATAAACAACCTAACTTTACACCTAAAGGAACTAGAAAAAAACAACAATAAACAAAGCCTAAAGTGAGTAGAAGAAAGGAAATTATTAAGATTAGAATGGAAATAAATGATATAGAGACTGGTAAAACAATACAAAAGATCAATGAAACCAAGAGCTGGTTCTTTGAAAAGATAAACAAGATTGGCAAACCGTTAACCAGACTCATAAAGGAAAAGAGTGGACCCAAATAAATAAAATCAGAAATGAAAGAGAAATAACAACTGACACCACAGAAATACAAAGGATTGTAAGAAAATATTACAAACAATCATATGCCAACAAATTGAACAACCTAGTCAAAGTGGGTAAATTCCTAGAAACATATACTCTTCCAAAACCGAATCAAGAAGAATCAGAAAATCTGAGCAGACTAATTACAACTAATGAAATCAAAGTGGTAATAAAGAAAACTCCCAGCAGACAAAAGTCCTGTACTAAATGGCCTCACAGGTGAATTTTACCAAACATTCAGATAACTAACACCTATCCTTTGCAAACTATTCCCAAAAATTTAAGAAAAGGGAAGACTCCCAAACCCATTTTATAAGGCTAGTATTATCCTAATTCAAAAACCAGATAAAGATACTACAAAAAAAGAAAATTATAGGCCAGTATCCCTGATAAACATAGATGCTAAAGCTCTTGACAAAATATTAGCAAACTGGATCCAGCAATACACTAAAAAGATCATACACCATGGTCAAGGAGGATTTATGCCTGGGACGCAAGGTTGGTACAATATATGAAATCAGTTAATGTGATACACAACATAAAGAAATGAAGGATAAAAGTCATATGATCATATCAATGGACACACAAAAAGCATCTGATAAAATCCAACACCCATTTATGATAAAAACTCTTAGCAAAGTGGGAATAGAGGGAACATACCTCAACGTAATAAAGGCCATATACGACAAACAACAGCTAATGTCATACTCAATGGAGAAAAACTAAAAGTGTTTCCCTTAAGATCAGGAACAAGACCGGGATGTCTGCTGTCACCACTCTTACTCAACATAGTGCGGCAAGTTCTAGCAATAGCAATCAGACAAGAGGAAGAAATAAAAGGCATCCAAATTGGAAAGGAAGAAATAAAACTGTCATTATGTGTGGATGACATGATATTGTATATAGAGAACCCTAAAGACCACCAAAAAACTACTAGAACTGATAAATTCAGTAAAGTAGCAGGATACAAAATTAATATTCAGGGTAGGGCAAAAGTAGGTTTACAGTTTATATGGAAAATAATACAATAATAATACAAGAATAAACTGTTTCATGTACTCACAACTGTAAAACTACTTCTGCCTAATCCTGTACCAATAATGAACTAGCAGAACGGGAAACTAAGGAAACAATCCCATTTATAATTGCACACAAAAAAATAATAAAATACCTAGGAATAAATTTAGCCAAGGAGTTCAAAGACCTGTACTCAAAATATAAGACACTGAAGAAAAAAAATCGAAGCTACAAATAAATAGAAGCATATTCCATGTCCATGGATAGGAAGAATTAACATCAAAATGTCAATACTACCGAAAGCAATCTATGGATTCAGTGCAGTCCCTGTCAAAATACCAATGACTTATTTTGCAGAGCTAGAACAAATAATCCAAAAATTTATACAGAACCATGAAAAACCCTAAATAGCCTCAGCAATATTAAGAAAGAAGAACAAAGTTGGAGTATTGCACTACCTGATATCAAACTATTCTAACAAGGCCATAGGAATCAAAATAGCATGATAGTGGCATAAAAACACACAGATCAATGGAACAGAATAGAGAGTCCAGAAATCAACCAATGTCTATATGGTCAACTAATATTTGGCAAAGGAGACAAGAATGTACAATGGGGTAAAGACAGTCTTATATATGTAAAGAGCATTTTTCAAATTGCTTTCACATCATTTTGGCTCCTGTAAAGATATCATGTCAAATGATGTGGCAGTTCTTCAAGAAATTAAACATAGAATTACAATATGATCCAGCAATTCCATTTATGAGTGTATATCAAAAAGCAAAACTAAACAAACAGGTATTTGTATACCTGTGTTCTTCATAGCAGCATTATTTACAGTAGCCAAAAGATGGAAGCAACCTGGCAATCCAGGTGTCNACAGCTAATGTCATACTCAATGGAGAAAAACTAAAAGTGTTTCCCTTAAGATCAGGAACAAGACCGGGATGTCTGCTGTCACCACTCTTACTCAACATAGTGCGGCAAGTTCTAGCAATAGCAATCAGACAAGAGGAAGAAATAAAAGGCATCCAAATTGGAAAGGAAGAAATAAAACTGTCATTATGTGTGGATGACATGATATTGTATATAGAGAACCCTAAAGACCACCAAAAAACTACTAGAACTGATAAATTCAGTAAAGTAGCAGGATACAAAATTAATATTCAGGGTAGGGCAAAAGTAGGTTTACAGTTTATATGGAAAATAATACAATAATAATACAAGAATAAACTGTTTCATGTACTCACAACTGTAAAACTACTTCTGCCTAATCCTGTACCAATAATGAACTAGCAGAACGGGAAACTAAGGAAACAATCCCATTTATAATTGCACACAAAAAAATAATAAAATACCTAGGAATAAATTTAGCCAAGGAGTTCAAAGACCTGTACTCAAAATATAAGACACTGAAGAAAAAAAATCGAAGCTACAAATAAATAGAAGCATATTCCATGTCCATGGATAGGAAGAATTAACATCAAAATGTCAATACTACCGAAAGCAATCTATGGATTCAGTGCAGTCCCTGTCAAAATACCAATGACTTATTTTGCAGAGCTAGAACAAATAATCCAAAAATTTATACAGAACCATGAAAAACCCTAAATAGCCTCAGCAATATTAAGAAAGAAGAACAAAGTTGGAGTATTGCACTACCTGATATCAAACTATTCTAACAAGGCCATAGGAATCAAAATAGCATGATAGTGGCATAAAAACACACAGATCAATGGAACAGAATAGAGAGTCCAGAAATCAACCAATGTCTATATGGTCAACTAATATTTGGCAAAGGAGACAAGAATGTACAATGGGGTAAAGACAGTCTTATATATGTAAAGAGCATTTTTCAAATTGCTTTCACATCATTTTGGCTCCTGTAAAGATATCATGTCAAATGATGTGGCAGTTCTTCAAGAAATTAAACATAGAATTACAATATGATCCAGCAATTCCATTTATGAGTGTATATCAAAAAGCAAAACTAAACAAACAGGTATTTGTATACCTGTGTTCTTCATAGCAGCATTATTTACAGTAGCCAAAAGATGGAAGCAACCTGGCAATCCAGGTGTCATTGACAGATGAATGCATCCACAAAATGTGGTACATGCATGCAAATGGATTATTATTCAACCTTAAAAAGGAAGAAAATTCTGACACATGCTACAAATGGGTGAATCTTGAATACACTATATTAAATGAAATAAGCCAGACACAAAAGGACAAATGCTGTATGATTCCACTTATATGAGATATCTAGAGTAGTCAGACTAATAGAGACAGGCAGCAGAATAGTGGTTTCCAGGAGCTAGGGGGAGGGAGGAATGGGAAGTTACTGTTTAATGGGTACAGAGGTTCAGTTCGGGAAGATGTCCAAGCACTAGAGATGGATGGTGATGATGGTTGCACAACAATCTGAATGTATTTAAGGTCACTGAACTATACACTTAAAATGGTTAAAATGATAAATTTTATGTTATGTGTATTTTACCACAATAAAAAGTATATTCATGTCAGCTATAGTTCATAAGGATAATTACTGACATTTATATAGGACACAGATCTAATTTGTTAAATATACTCACATCACAAACTGATCTTAAGAGATGAACTCATTTCTGGGGTCTAATTTTTTAGTAATCCAAATAAAATGTGCTTGCAATGTATAAATTTAATTTGCCCTCCTTTTTGTGCCAATAGGAAAATCAAGAAGATCTGGGCCTGTGGGAGGAGACATTCAGAAACTTTGTGGATGTCAAAGTTAACGGTAACATTGAAACTGCTGTAGTGCTAAAACAGATCTTTCCAAAATGGCTAAATATCTCTACCCAAAAGTCCCTGGAGCTTTGGCACCTAAACAGGTGACTTCTTCAAGATGAACAGAAATCTCAGATTTGAGCCCCCTATTCTTCCATAATGCATTGCAACAAAGAAATAATGATTATATGCCTTTTGTGGGGAGTATAAAAGAACGATAGGCCTCATGGAACATGGTCTCATGGAGGGGTCTAGATCAGCACACTGTTTGCACTATCCAGTATATCAGATAGCTGCAAATTCCATGTTCTATTTTTATGAGAGTCAAGTGATGACAAAACAATCTCTAGAGCTCATCAGCTCCAACATTCCAAGCCAGTGGTTCTCAGCCTTTGCCAGGCCTCCCCATCACTCACATGAGCATCACATGCCCATCTGTGACATTTCTCCCTAGGCTCAGTGATGCGTGTGTGTGTGTGTGGAGTTTGTCTCTTTAGGAGATACCTTTCAGATACTTGGGCCTTGTGTAGTTGGAAAAAATGCTTCTTTCCTCCTCCCTACCTGTAGAATGACAGACCCTCCCTAATTCCTTGAGAATCCCTGTTCTAGCATCTATATCTATAGTATATGATCAGGACTGACAACTTGCCCAAAATTTATAAGCAAGGGGCCTCTCAGACTTCTTTCTGTAATATCATAATCTTTTTTACCTTTTCTATAGCACCCTCATTCCATAAACTTCTCCAATTAAGTATCATTTGAGGTCAGATACTTTAAGAATGAATTTAAGGCGATGTTATCTTTCCTAATTATTTGCATCTTTCCCATGTCTCTAAAATGATTGTTAAAGGACTATGTCTTTTGTTAAAGGAAATTATATGTTTACTCACAGGGTATTCTGAGGAGCCAGGAAAGATCTCCTGGTGCCCTTGACATTACAGTCCCTGGACACAGTGAGAATAAACTATCAGGTAGAAGACACCCACTCTTTCATCTAGCGAAGATTAAAATTGCTCAATATCCTTTATTTCTTAAAGCAAAGGAGTATGCAATATTATTTTATAAAAGTTTAGATTAGAAAAAAAACCTAACACTCTGTAGTCATACTGTACCAATAGAGAAGAGATTTACTGTAAATGGGGACACAGAGAGCTTTAGCACACAGTTAAGCGAACACAACGAAAATGTGACCAGAACTTTGTCCTTTGCATTCCTGTATCCCCACAACACTTTAATATAACATCTTACAGAGTCAGCACACATCATTTACTGATATATCGGGGAAAGCTCAGATCTCTAGATCTCTAGTCGAGTCATCGTGCTACATTCATAGTTCACTGAATCTCTAATTGAGTGCCCCAAATGAGAAGCAAAACTCAATCAATATCCTGGTTCTTACAGGTCCTGCCTCCATTGGTTTGGATTTCTCGTTGCATGGATTTGAGCATCTCTATGGGATTCCGCAACATGCAGAATCACACCAACTTAAAAATACTGGGTAAAATGAAAACAAGAATTCTTACAGGAAGGGCAAATATGTGAGATGTCTGAAACAGTGCTAACATGTGCCCGGCCTTTTCCTACTTGATGTTGCTTATAGATCTTTAAGAACATTCCTTGAATGATCCCACAAAGCAGTGGTTCTCAGTTTTTTTGTTTTTTGGCAAAAATTAGACAATTATAAAAACTATAATGCTGAACCTAAAAATACAAAGGAAGTAAAAATATGAAGCTGCTGTGGTTGAAACGGGGGAGATTTTCATCACACCACCTCCTGGGCTTTGCTTTCACTTCTCAAGGCCTTAGTGTGGAACACTGGGGGAATGCACTGTGAAAAACACTGACCTAGAAAAAGGCTTTTACTAAAAGAGGTCTGTGAGCCAGAGAATGGGAAAGTGTGGCATTTCATATCACCTTTGATTGCCTCAGGGAGATCATTTCAAACTAACACTACTGGCAAATAAATGCCAGAGGCATAGGACTAACTGCAAGCAAAAAACAAAGAGAAACAGTCTGATAAAGTTTGCCAGGTTCAGATGCTGCTTATATGACAGGAAGGCATAGTGACAAGTGCCTCAGAAACCGCGCTGCTTTCACACCAACCCCAACTCTGCTCTCCACCCCAATTCAGGTCCTGATTTTTTTCCCTACTTAGCACTGTGTCAGCACGTTAAGACACTATCATTTTGTTTTAGCGGCAGAGAAATACAAAGTTTGTCAAAGACACTTATTGTGTGCTTGCTATTGCAGAGGATTCACAGGAAATAGTCCTAACCTCACAAGAGATTCAGAAAAGATATCTAAGATATGTGATTATGCCTGCCAATTGCCAATTAACCTTTAAAAGACAGAATTTAAGAGACAGCATCATACAAACTCCATATATTTTCCAGGATCAACTGTACAAATAATGGTTTCTTTCCTTTTGCCTGTAAAAAAGAACGTATATGCTTAGGTTTCTGAGTATTTAAAGGGATACCAAAGGAATCAAAGGGGGAGGATCATACTCACCCAGATTGGATCAGAAACCTTTAGGGAAGTAGTAAAGTTGAGCCTTGAAAGATGCCTAGGATCCAGGTGCAGGGGAGAATGGAACTACACTCTTCATTAATGATATAGGATGTCCTCCAAAAATGTATACACACTTTAACAGCTGATAACTCAATTTTCACTCCCTTTCAGGTTTGACTGATTTGAAATAATGGGTGAAGCCAGACTAAATTTTGAACAAAGAAAATGTATCCTAAGGTGCCACTAGACTTTTTTTTTTTATGGGGATGTATAAAAGAGAAATACTTGCTTTGCTGGTACAAAACCAGCAACAGTCGACGAATCGAGGGTACACAAATACAGAACAAAATTATTCTTTTGTTTGTTTTTAAAATATATCTTTATTGATTTCAGAGAGAGGAAGGGTGAGGGAGAAAGAGAAATAGACACATCATAGATGCGAGAGTCATCATTGATTGGCTACCTCCTGCACGCCCCCTACTGGGGATGGAGCCTGCAACCCCAGCACATGCCCTAACTGGGAATCAAACCTCAGTCTCCTGGATCCTAGGTCAATGCTCAGCCACTGAGCCACACCTGGCTGGGCAACAAAATGATCCTGGTGTTTGTGATTCCACTGCTTTGTGTTATCAACAGTGCCTGGACCAGAATGGTCATCAGTTTGAAAACAGGCATTGACAAAAAAGTATTCATTTCTGTAGATTCCTTTAAATTTTGAAAATGAACTGTAAATAAACACTGATTGTATAGTCATTCAAAGTGTGTATACATTTTTTGAGGACACCCTGTATATTTGTGATGGTAATTGATAATCCTCCTTGTGTGTTTCAGTGATAAAGATGCTTACCGTCTTTATAACCTGGATGTCTATGGATATAAAATACATGACAAAAATGGCATTTATGGTTCAGTGCCTTATCTCTTAGCCCACAGACTGGGCAGGACTTTAGGCATTTTTTGGCTGAATTCCTCAGAAACACTGGTGGAGATCAATACAGAGCCTGCAGTAAAGGTAAGCTATGGACCATAGCTGCATGTCCTACTTACAGAAGAAACAAAACTATAAAGTGTAGTTATAGCTCTGGACTAGTTCTCTGCCACCAGTCTTTGCAATATAATCAGTGAAAGTTAATAGTATGTAAGAAAGGAACAGGCCATTACTCCCATTTGGATGGACATTGTAGGTTAGAGGGAAATTTTTGAAACCTTTATTCCATTTCTTGTCTAGTACACACTGACCCAGATGGGCCCAGTTGCTGCTGAACAAAAGGGTAGATCTCGAACTGATGTTCATTGGATGTCAGAGAGTGGAATCATTGATGTTTTTCTGCTGACTGGCCCTACACCTTCTGATGTCTTCAAGCAGTACTCATCCCTTACAGGTACTTGCATGTTGAAGTGCCCATTTCTTGTTCCATTATATTTCCTCTATTCCATGTATGATTACTGTAAGTTAACATTTATCACACACCATATAGAATTCAAAAACAATTTGCCTAAGCTTTTTAAGAAGCAAGCATTTCTCCCCCCACCCACATTCCATTCAGCTTGGTTAAAAGTTGCACTGGGGCTAGAACTCTCCATTCTCTTGCCATCTGCCTTCCTTAGAACCTTTAACCCCTGGGCTTTCTCTGCCTTTATCTCGTGATCAGTAGCCTAACCTTTTCTATTTCTCTTCTCCATTAAAATATACCACTGGCTTTAGCTCTAAAGCATTTTACCTTTAAAAGATGTAAGATATACCAATTTCTGCACCTCAATTGGTGCAGAAAAAGCATTTGACAAAATCCAACACTATTTCGTGATTTTAAAAAACCACACACTCAGAAGACTAGGAATAGAAGGGAACTTTTTCAATATGATAAAAGACATTTATGAAATGCCCACAGCTGACGTCATATTCAGTGGTGAAAGGCTGAAAGATCAGAAACAAAACAAGGCTGCCCATTTTCACCACTGCTGTTGAACACTATACTGGAAGTTCCAGCCAGAGCAATTATGCTAGAAAAAGAAATAAAAGGTATCTAAATTGGAAAGGAAGAAGTAAAATTATACTTACTTGCAGAGAATATGATCCTGTATGTTAGAAAAATCCCAAAGACTCCACACAAAAACTACTAGAACTAATAAATTACCAAAGTTGCAGGGTACATGATAACATACAAAATGAGTTGTAATTTATACACCAGCAGTGAACAATCTAAAAAAGAAATTGAGAAAACAATTCCATTTACAATAACATCTAAAATAATAAAATACTTAGGAATAAATTTAACCAAGGAGGTGAAAGACTTGTACACTGAAAAATACAAAATATTCCTGAAAGAAATTAAAGAAGGCCTAAATAAATGGAAACATCTCATGTTCATGGATTGGAAGACTTAATATTGTTAAGATGGCAGTGCTACCAAAAGCAATCTACAGATTCACTGCAATCTACCAAAATTCCAACAGCCATTTCTGAAGAAATGGAAAAGCTGGTCATATGGAATTGCAAAGGGTGCTGAATAGCCAAACAATCCTGAAAACACAAAAAACAAAACAAAACAAAAAAACAAAGTTGGAGGACTCATACTTCCCAAGTTCAAAAATTACTACAAGGTTAAAATAATCCAAATAATATGGTACTGGCATACAAATAGACATACAGGCCAGTGGAATAGTATTAAAGGCTATAGACCCATACATGTCTGGCCAATTGATTTTCAGCAAGCTTCAAGACCATTCAGTCGGGAAAAAATAGTCTCTTAAGCACATGGTACTGGGACAAGTGGATATCCACATGCAAGAGAATGAAGTTGGAACCCTGCCTCACACTATACACAAAAAAGTAACTCAAAATGGATTAACATAAATATAAGAGTAAATGCCATAAAACTCTTGGAAGAAAATGGGTAACTCATCATGACCTTGAACAAATCAACAGATTCTTAGATATAACAACAAAATCATAAGAGAAAAAAAATAGATAAGTTGGACTTTATTAAAACTTAAAATTTTTGAAGTGAAAAGACAACCTACAGAATGGGAGAAAATGTTTGCAAATCATATATTTGATGAAGTATTTGTCTAGTATCCAAAATATATAAAGAACTCTCACAACTCACCAACAAAAGACAGCCCAGTTCTAAAATGGGCAAAGGGTCCAGCTGAGCATGGCTCAGTGGTTGAGCATCGACCTAGGATCCAGGAGATCGGGGTTCAGTTCCCGGTCAGGGCACATGCCTGGGTTGCGGGCTAGGCAGCCGATCAATGTCTCTCTCATCATTGATGTTTCTGTCTTCCTCCTCTCCCTCTCCTTTCCTCTCTCTGAAATCAATAAAGATATGTTTAAAATTAAAATTTAAAAAATGGGCAAAGGACTTAAATTGACATTTCTCCAAAGATCCAGAAATGGATTAACAAGCACATGAAATGATGCTCAACATCTTTAGTCATTAGGAAAATGAAAATTAATGAAATGCCATTTCCTACCATCTAAGATGGCTAAATAAAAAAAGGAAAATAATAAGTGTTGATAGGATGTGAAGAAATTAAAACCTCATACATTGCTGGGGGAATGTAAAATTGTTCAGCTGCTGTGGAAACAATTCGGCAGTTCCTCAAAAAGCTAAACATAGAATTACCATATGACTGAGTGTGATGGTTAACTTTATGTGTCAACTTGCAGAGGTCATGGTACCCAGATGTTTGGTTAAACACTAGTCTAGATGTCATTGTGAAGGTATTTTTTAGGTGAAATTAATCGTTAAATCAATTTGAGTAAAACAAGTTACTTGCCATAATGTGGGTGTGCTTCATCCAATCATTTAAAAGAAAGCCTTAAGAGAAGAGGACTGAGTTCCCCTAAAGATAAAGGAATGTCTCCAGACTGCCTTCATATCTGGGCTGCAACTTCAGCTCTTCCTTGGGTCTCCAGCCTATCAGCCTGCTCTGCAAAATTCAGAGTTGCCAGCTGCTGCAATCACATGAACCAGTTCCTTAAAATCAACCAGTCATTCTCTCTGTATGTGTATATGTATGTATAGAGATATATGCATATATACACACAACCTATTCTGTTTCTTTGCACAACCTTGACTAATACATCCAGCAATTCCACTCCCAGATATTTACCCAAAGGAACTGAAAGCAAGGGCTCAAACACATACATGTATGCCAGTGATCACTGCAGCATTAGTCACAATAGCCAAAAGATAGAAATAAGTGCCCATCAAAGATGAATTGATAAATAAAATGTGTCATATACATAAATTGGAATATTATTCAGCCATAATAAAGAATGAAGTTCTGATACTTGCTGGAACATGGATGAACCTTGAAAAATTATGCAAAATGAAATAAGCCAAAAAAAAATATTATGATTCCACTTATAAAAAGTACCCACAATAGGCAAATTTATAGAGACAAAAAGTAGATTAGCAGTTACCAAGGGCTGGAGGGTGAGATAGGTAATGGAAAGTTACTGCTTAATGCCTACAGAGTTTCTGTTTGGGGTGATACAGAGTTTTGGAAATAGCTAGTGGTAATGCTTGTACTACAGTGTGAATGTAATTAATGCCACTGAATTGAACACTTAAAAATGGCACATTTTATGTTATGTATATTTCACCACCAGTTTTTAAAAGTTGGTAATGTGATATACCAAAAAATATTGAATTGTATGCTTTAAGTAGGTGAATTGTATGGTATATGAGTTACATCTCAATAAAGCTATTAAAAATAAAAGTAATGTAGCATCACTTCTGCTCATTCTATAGTTAAAAGTCTCTGAATCCAGCCCATGTTTAAGGGAAGAGGAATTTTATTCCAATTTTAATGATAGGAACAACAAAGAATTTGTGGATATGGGAAGACACTCATATAGGAATAAGTACTGTTGAGGCCCACCTACAGTCCCTTTCAATGTTGTTATTATGGAGAATAAGCCTGATTTATAGGAAAATCTGTCAAAAACACTGGATCTGCCACCATGTTCAAAGAAATCTAGTTTATAAGTTTATAGATTATATGTTAGCTCCTAATGAAGATTTAACTCAATAATATCTTTCCTTTCTCTCCCTCCTAATAATGTTGGTAGCACAAATTTGGTTAAATCAATATTCAGTGTTTACATTTTTTAAAATGCCCAAGGGTAGCAGACACTTTACCCATTCTTCTTTTTTCCTGGAATATCCCATCCAGGTCACTCTCTCCTGCTCCCATCAGAACTGTTGCTCTCTATCCCTGCACAGCTATCATCCTAGGTTTTCCAACTGCTGTCATCCTAGGACTTAACATTTGCTGTTTTCTGATGTTAGATTCCTCTTTTCTTGGGTCCCATGTTTTTGTGTGTGTTATATTGTCTTGTTTTTGTTTGTTGTTTATTTAAAGCATATTCTGGTAGTTTCCTAAGAAAGTGTGCATTAGGGGTACACTTTCTGCATCTTCACAGTTATGAAAACACCTTTTCTTCTACCTTTATTGGTAATTTGGCTAGCTAGATTGAAAATTCTTCCTCTCAGAATTTGAAGGCACTTCTCTGTTGTCTTCTATCTTCTTGTTCCACAATCACTCTGAATTCTGTTCCTTTGTGTAAGGTCTGTCTTCCTCCCTGAAATATCTTTTTCTTTATCTCTAATATTCTGAAATTCCTGATATTTTGAAATTCTGAAATTTTACAATAAAATGCCTTGATAAAGACTTTTTAAAATAATCAGTGTGCTGGGTATTAGATGTGGACTCTTTCAATCTTGAAACTTATAATCCTTCAGTTCTAGAAAAGTCCTTTATTATTCCTTTGGTAATTTCTTCCCCTCGTTTTTCTCTTTCTATTCTATGGATCTAATCATCTTTCTTCCCATTTTTGTCTATTTTTTCTGAGCAGTTTTCTCAATTTTATCTGCTAAGCCTTCCATTTATGCTATCATATTTCTGGAGATACTAATGATAATGCTTTTATATTTCCCCCTGGTTCTCTATATTGTCCCTCTTTTCTCAGAGATCCTTTCATTCTATTTTTTTATCTGGGTCCCTCTAATTTTGGAGGCTTTGCTCAAATGGGTAACCCTTGGCTATTTAGAAGGATAAGGCTCTGCCCTGGAAGCTCTGCATGCCTGAGGAGTCTTACACTAGTATTGGGGGCAGGGGGGATTCTCCTGTCTGCTAATATTCTGGGACCAGGGATGAGCCCTTCTCATCAGAATTCCCCTCACTCTGGTGAGAACTTCCCTGGCTTTGCTCAACAATTACCATCCCTCCCCTGCCTGCTGCCTTACAGAATTTTGTTCTTTTTGTTCCTGTGGCTTTGTTTTGTCTTTTCATTCCTCTGATTTTAGTGGGACTTTAGGAGGGGAAGAGATCAGGCAAGTGGTAAATGTTTTGATAAGTTCCTGACAGTTCTTCCTGCCTTCATTCTCTCCCTTCAAGTCAGTCTCAACACTGCTCCACAACGAATTTTTCTAAAACATGTGTCTGCTAAGGTTACAACTTGCCAAACTTTTGGTAACTTCCCATAAGGGAAGATTTAGAATTCCTAGCCTGAACTACAGGGCCCTTTACAAACTGGTCCTCTCCAGTTTCATCTCCTACTGATCTCTTTCACAGAGTAACTACCTTGGAATATTTATTTTTCCCTCAGCTTATCATGTACTTCTCTGCTGTCTGTCTTTTCTATTTCCTGTGCCTGAATGCTCTACCCATTCTTCTGTCTGGTATACTCCTACTTAGTCTTCAAGGTCCAAACCAAGTGTTACCACCTCTTTGAAGCCTTTAAGACTCCACACTTCACTGTAGGCAGAATTTGTTAACCCCTCTTATTGCCATAGCACTAGACTGATACCTTCAAGAGAGCACCTCTGCCTCAGAGCAGAGCAGTTCATGTACATGCTGCCTCATCAGCCAAATTGTCACTTTCTTGACGGCAGGGACTATGCTTTCTTCTCCTTGATAGTCTAAGTACCACACTGAGTGCTTGAACCCTGTAGGCATTTAGAAATGTTTGTCCAATGTAGAATTATCGCTGTGGTGGTAGTTGGCTCAGTTGTTCTCTTCATCTTTTAGGCACTCAAGCCATGCCCCCTCTCTTCTCCTTGGGGTACCATCAGTGCCGCTGGAACTATGAAGATGAGCAGGATGTAAAAGCAGTGGATGCAGGATTTGACAAACATGACATTCCTTATGACGTCATTTGGCTGGACATAGAGCACACCGAGGGCAAAAGGTACTTCACCTGGGACAAGAAAAAATTCCCAGACCCAAAGAGGATGCAAGAGTTGCTCCGAAACAAAAAACGTAAGGTAAAATAAACCATTCCTGAACCTTTTAATTACAACCACTTTTTTTAAAAAATATATCTTTATTCATCTCAGAGAGAGAAAGGAAGAGGGAGAGAGAGAGAGAGAAACATCAGTGATGAGAGAGTCATTGATTTGCTGCCTCCTGCACGACCCCGACCGGGGATGGAGCCCGCAACCCGGGCATGTGCCCTGACCGGGAATCAAACCATGATCTCCTGGATTCTAGGCCGCTGCTCAACCACTGAGCTACGCCCAGCCAGGCTACAAGCACTTGTTTAAACTTGCTTTGGCACATTAGTGGAGGACTACCTGATTTTTAAAATGGCCATGAAAATAGTACCTTTAAATGCACTTGAAACCAGGATAACAGAAAAGCAATTGTGAAAAGATGGTGACGCCATCCCTCCCTGCCTTATTTGTCTAGGTCTCCATAAGGTTGAAGGGGCCTAGCATTCAGGCCCATTTGTTATGGCCGCCCTGTAGTATTGTGGTGGGTCCCCTACCCATGCAAAATTTGGTTCTGATGTTGAGATTGATGACATCACACTGGTACCAAGATTAATTAGCCAAAGAACATATATGCATAACCCATAGACACAGACAACAGTGTAGTGATGGCCAGAGGGAAAGGGGAGCAGGGGCTGGGTGGAGGTGGGTAAATGGGGAGGGGGTAATGGGGACATCTGTAATAGTGTCAACAATAAAAATATAGTTAAAAAAATAAAAATAAATAATAATAAAAGATTAGTCACATAGTAAGGCATTCTTGGGGTGCAAGGCTGGCTCCCAAGCATGTTTGAAATTGGCTTGAGAGATCTAGAAAGGAGACTGGCTCAGCTTTTACCATGATTAGGGAGTTGGACTGGGGTGAAGAGTCTTGTGCATGTGCCAGGGCTTGTGTGGTTTGAACTTTCTGCTGGCACCAAAGGAGGGAGCATCAGGGCTTTCTCTGTCGGCATGCACAGATGTAGGAAGAAAGGTGAGGGGGCATGGTGGGGCTTGAAAGCCCTTAAGTTCATCAGAAACAGAGTTGATTTTTCATTACACCATTTTCCTGCATGCTTCCCTAATGGATTTCACCTGTCAATCTGGCCAAGGAAAGAACTAGAATAGAAAATGGGGAGGGGAAAAGATACTGGAACATGTGTAATACAAGGATGGGTGTGGTGGTAATAGCAATAATAAAGAGAGGGAAGGAGAAGAAGCGGGGAACCCGTATATATCACGTAAGCGGATCCCTGCACTCCCTCTCCCTGAGGTTAAAGTTGCCTTTTCAGTCCATTCTTTCAATCCCCAGGCCTTTCACAGGTGGCCAGAACCAACCCTGTTAAATCCTAATTCCCCAATTAATAAATAGCTACCACTTATCCAGCACTTCTTATGACCCAGAGAGTATGATAAAACACAGTATTCCATCCAGTCATCACGAATTATGAGGCAGATTTTGTTATCCCATTTTTCAGATGAGGAAACAGGGGCTTAGAATGGTTTTGTATGTTGCATAAAGGCACACTATGAGTTAGCAGCAAGGCAGGAATTTGAACCCTGATCTGCTTGACTCCAGAACCTATGTCCTTCTAAGCAGTGATGTTCAAGATAAGTGTGCTAAAGATGAAGGGAATGTGGATATGAGCTCCTTGGGTGTCTTACAGTGAGTGGGGGAAACGCAAATCTACAACAGCCACAGTACAGGGCAGTAACATGATGGCCGAAGAAAGGTCAGAGAATGAAGGTTGCATCCTGCTGGCCTCGAGCAGGGATTTGTGCATTTTAGATGAGCCCTGAAAGATGAGTCTCCAGTGGAGAAGGTGAGAGAGGGAAGAGGGCAGTGCAGCCAGAAGCTGGAGCACCCAGTGGTGTTCGGAAAGCACCACAAGCTGGTTTGACAGGAAAATAAGGCATGGGCAAGATTTGAGTAGTGGGGAGTCTGACCTTATTGTAGGTTGTTTGTATGCATTTGAAGACATTAAAAGTTTCTGAATAAGGCGTCAATATGCAGAATGTATGAAGAACTCCTACAACTCAACAGTTAAAAATTGGGAAAGGGTCCAGCTGGCATGACTCAGCGATTGAGCATCAACCTAGGATCCAGGAGACCACAGTTCAATTCCCAGTCAGGGCACTTGACTGGGTTACGGGCTCCATCCCCTCTAAGGGCATGAAGGAGGCAGCCAGTCAGTGACTCTCTCTCATCATTGATGCTTCTATCTCTCTCTCCCTCTCCCTTCCTCTCTTTGAAATGAATAAAGATATATATATTTTTTTTAAATGTGAAAGGGACTTGATAGATATTTCTTCAAAGAAGATATACACATCCAACAAGGACATGAAAAGATGTTCATTATCCCTAATCATTAGCGAAATGCAAATCAAAACCACAGTGAGCTACTACTTCATACCATTAAGGTAGTTACTACAAAAAAACCCCCACCACAGAATATAACAAAATGTTGGTGAGGATACGCAGAAATTGGAACACTTGTGCATCAATGCTGGGAATGTAAAATGACACAACCTCTATGGAAAACAGTATGGAAATTCATTAAAAAATTAAAAATAAAATTACCGTATGATCCAGCAATCCTACTTATGGGTATATACCCAAAGAATTGAAAGCAGGGACCTGAGCAGAAATTTGTACACCTATGTTCATATCAGCATTATTCACACACAATAGCCAAAAGGTGGAAGTAACCCAAGCATCCATCAACACATGAATGGATAAACAAAATATGGCATATACATGCAGTGGAATATCACTTAGCCTTAAAAAGGAAGGAAATTCTGACACATGCTACAACATGGATGACTGTGAGGACATTAATAAGCTAATCACCAAAGTGAAATAAACCAATCACCAAAAGACAAACACTGTACGATTTCACTAATCTGTAATACCTAGAGTAGTCAGAATCAGAGAGACAGATAGAAGAACGGTGGGGGGGGAGGGAATAGGAAGTTGTTATTTAGGGGTCTAGAGCTTCAGTTTTGCAAGATGAAAAGAGTTCTGGACATAATTGTACAAGAATGTGAATGTATTTAACACTACTGAACTGTACACTTAAAAATGGTGAAGATGGTAAATGTTGTCATGTATATTTTATCACAATTAAAATTTTTTAAATGAAAGTTTTTGAGCAAGGGAAAATTAAACTTTAGTATATAGAATCGATTTGAATAGATACAAGGATGGATGATTAGAAGGTTGTTCTAGCCAAGTAAAGTGGTTTTGAGGGCTGAGACTAGGTGGAAAAAATGATGCTAGAAAAGCAAGGAAGGATACTAGAGACACAGCCGTGATCACAGCTTTTCTGAGACCTCCTTCCTCAGTATGCCTGTATCTTTGGAATTGGGGTTTCTGTTTGGTTTTAACATGCTATTCTCCTGCTTTCTTTAATGTTTGCTTTTGTCAGTGTTATCTTAGCTTCTAAATGTCTAGGAAGCAGAAACCTTACCTGCTTAATCCTTTATGTATAGCACACAGCACCGCAGATAGATAGAAGCTTAATAAATGCTATCTTAAAAACATGTATTGGTTAGGCAGCAATAACTCCTATAAAGGAGCATTGACCTGGTGACCTGGTTTTGACATCAATTTATTTTTCTATAAGCACATAAAATATTTCAGTACTAATAGTTGTTTCTGAGTAAAACTTGAACCCAAGAACTATGATGAAAACATGTACATGATCATATGCCTCATATGAAACTGATGAGATCTTCAAACCTTTATGTCCTCCTGACAGCTCGTGGTCATCAGTGACCCCCACATCAAGATCGATCCTGACTACTCAGTGTATGCTAAGGCCAAAGAACAGGGCTTCTTTGTGAGGAATCATGATGGGGGAGACTTTGCAGGGGTATGCTGGCCAGGTAAGATATTACTTTATATACTTACTTCCCTTGTTCAGTCCCAATTAATGAAGGTTTCATGACCGTTGTTCTTAATTCCTTGTAGATGTGTCTTTCTACATTTTAAGTGCCTCTAAGGAGGAGATAGTGTTGCCTTCTTTTATATCTTTCATATTAACACTGATACAGTGTACTTTGTATACATTTATTGGTCAATGAGTGAATGAAAAGTAAACAGGCAAACCTCAGTGGCATGCTATTTCTCTAAGCAAATAAAAATGAAAAGCCAAGGAATGAGAAAAGGAGAGGAGAAAGAAAAGGGCCCTGCCGTCTCTCCTCCTGCCATTCTTCTTTGCCCTGTTAGCCCATACTTTTGACTTCCCAGACTTTCATGAGTGACGTCAGCTGCCTCTGGCAACTCTGGATTCTTCATTTCTGAAAGTATTAGTTTAAAGCCATGGTAGAGATTCCTCAAGGACAAAAGGAAATCACCAGTCTATCATATCATAGCCCTCTATCATAAATCCAAGCACAGTAGAGAAACCCCAGGCATTTTCCCCCCTTCTATCAGTTATGAACGCTTCTCTGTTCTCTTTAAGAACAGAGAGGCCACTGCAGAATACTTGCCTCCGTATTTGGGCCATCTCAGTGAGGGACAAGCTCCACCTTGATACTTGTTCACTGGCATGCCCCTGGGCCTCTGGAGTTGAAAGGTCTAGTAGGTTGTCACTGGAGTCCAGCATTGCCTTCATCTGCTTCTCACCAGACCATGCCTCTGTAAAGGCTGTCTTTTTATGTTTGATGCCCATTAATTACTGACCTTTCACTTCTGATATTCCTTCTTACAACACATTTTACCCTGAGGACCACTGTTTCTAACAGGCTGTCTACTCTTCTGCCTCTACAGGTCTCTCCTCTTACCTGGATTTCACCAATCCCAAGGTCAGAGAGTGGTATTCGGGCCTTTTTGCTTTCTCTGTTTATCAGGTTTGTTTTTATTCATTTGTTCTTTCCAAGTTACTTGAAATGAAGAAAGAAGGAAAAAAAGTGATTGGATAGAATTACTCTGCTTCACTGAACAGCCCCTAACAAATAATGTTTGTATGAAAAGGCAAGGTTGGAGCCACATTACAGACTTTGGTGGTGCCGGGAGAGGTGCCATGTGTATTATTAAATGCACAAAAGCTGTGACCTCTATTATAATAGGCTCTATGATATATCACAGTACTTAATAATAGAGAGATTTATTATATTTTCAAGTTACTATATAATTTTTGTATAAAATAGCATTGTATAACTATTATTTAAAGGTGATAATGCTATATGTGAAAATATCTTGCAAAGTATGTCATTAAAAGTAAGGTATAAGAAATAATAGATCAAGTTTTAAAATTTTATAAAAACCAGAGAAAACAGGAGAGATCACATCTAGAGAACTGTTTTCAGCCAATTGTGATGATCATGATAATGATGCCTAATATAAATTATTTGCTATGTGCCAAGCAGTGTGCTAAACACTTTCTGTGCATATACCATTTTATCTTCATAATAACCCTCTGAAGTTGGAGCTCTAATTAACTCTACTCCCACAGATGAGGAAATTGAGGCATGAACAAATTAAAAACCTGCTAAGTTCACCCATCTAGTAAGTGGCGGGCCCAAGATTTGAACTCAGTTCTATTTGTCTCCCAAGCTCAGCTCTTAACCACTCATCTAGTCTCTGAGCATCATGTATAAGGACACAGAAAATAACTTAGAGCAGGGATGAACAACACTTGGGCCACATGCTCACTTATTTCCCTATTGTCTATGGCTTTCCCACTACCAAAGCAGAGTTGAGTTACTGAAAAAGAGGCCTTATGGCCTGCAAAGTTGAAAATCTAGCTCTTTCCAGAAAAAGATTTCCATCCTTGCCCTAGAGTAGCCCCTGATAAATAATAATGCTTGTATGAAAAGGCAAGATTGATAAAGAACAGTCATGGTAGTTAAATGTTTGAAAACTATATAGCCTTGTTCATAGAAGTACACATGTTTAGAAGTAGTTAAAGAGACAAAAGAAAACAAATGAGCCTCCTTTAGGCACTTGAAAAACCATCATGTGGGTGAGGCAACAGATGTATTTTGAGGTATCCCAGAAGAAGCTAGGCAAGATGTTATCAGGAGCAGGACTTTCAGAAAATAATGGAATGAGCTGCCTGAAGGACTCCTTGTCTTCATGGCTATTGAGTCAAATGCTAAGAGACCAGGGATTCTATAAAGGGATTGTAAGACCGTGATAACTAGATGACTCAACTACCCCTTCCTACTCTATGTTGACCATTCTATGTAGAACACAAACTATAGATCATGCTAACAAGCAGGTATCTTAGCTGTCAAATTTTTCAGTGTTAGAGGGAAGGCAGAATTTTATCATATACAACTACAGTCGCCCTTCCCTCAGTTAAGAGTTGTAGCAGATGATGGATGATATAGAGCCTAACTGTGAACATTCACCACCTTTCTTGTGGGGGTTCTCCAGGTAGATCTTGGAGTGGACTTACTGGGCAATATGTGTTTCACAGACAATAGAGCACAGCATTCTTTCATTCATCAACAAATACTTACTGAGAACCTTCTGTGGTTCAGGTACTGTTCTAAGTGTTTGGGACCTATCAATGAACTCCCTGTCCAGTGGAGCTTTTTATTAGAGCAGAGGACAGAGCACAGATCATAAACATAACAAATAATAAATTAAATGGAATAGGAAAGAGGAATAGGGGCAGCTGTCATATTAACATCATCACTGTAGAAGTAGTATCTTGACCAAGATTTAGATTTACTTCCTAGGGATCTACTGACATCCTCTACCTATGGAATGACATGAATGAGCCCTCCGTCTTTAGAGGTCCAGAGCAAACCATGCAGAAGAATGCCATTCATCATGGCAACTGGGAGCACAGAGAACTTCACAACATATATGGTTTTTATCAGGTAAGACATCCAAGAAGAAGCCAATTATACCCATGTGCCCTGCCTTTTGAGCTGTAAGTTATTTCCTTTGTGATAGCCATACTATATACTGTTCATTTCTCTTTGTGTGTCTTTTCTGACAACTGCAATGAGTCTTATCAGGTTGTAGCCAATATAAGACTTATTTCTCCCTTTGTATCTTTTCCTTCTATAATGAACTTGAGGAATTCTCAGATATTGTGAGATTCATGATAATATAGAAACATCTTCCCTGACAGGAGCCGTTAGGAAATGGCATTGGATACTACCTCAAAACTTTTATTGATGTAAACAGTGTGTAAATACATAAAGGCAGTTAAAACAAATGTTTTGAAATTTTACAACTGTCTAAATACATTGAGTCTTACATTTATACTAAGGGAGTAAGATTTAGAACACACATACACAATTTCAATAAGTATACTTTTTCAATATAGAAAGCCTTCCTTAAGTACTTAGCTTTCTCAATAGAAAGTGGTAGAATTGTCTTCTATTGGCTAATCACATCTAAAAGACTTGGTAGTCACTGGCCCTAATTTATATCAGTGATTCTTTGTTATTTTCAGAATGTAACTTTTTATGGCTCTCCCACCAACTGGTATTTTCCAGTGGGAGCTACTGGCTAGATATAACATGGTTTTCAGATAGAATGTGTTTACTTCTCTAACAACCTCTTGCTATAATTGCAAACTACTTTAGAGAATTTCCTTATGTAGGCCAGGGCCAGTCACTTAACCTCACTGAATCTTAGTTTTTTTTATTAATAAAAACTATCTCAGAGGTTGTTGTATAGCTTGGAAGAGAAAATCTTATAAAATGCCTAATAATAGTAGACACCAAATAAATGCTAGCTTGTTATTTACTATTATTTCATTGCTATTTTAGTCAAATAAATTTTCCATTCTTTTAATAAGGGAATTTAGAGTAATTACATTGTAAAAATTGCTTGATGGATTTTTAAAAATATTTTCCGTTTTCCATTCCTACCTATTATTTACTTTTCGCATTGTAAATAAGTAGTTTATTGGGGATATCTACACAATGTCCTAATCCAGTCATCTGTTTGAAATTTTTCTCCTTTGACTTTATAGCAAAAGGCTACTACAGAAGGACTGATACAACGATCTAAGGGAAAGGAGAGACCCTTTGTTCTTACACGTTCTTTCTTTGCTGGATCACAAAACTATGGTAAGGAATGGCTCATATGACCAAACTTAAAAACACAAGTCTTTATAGAGCTACTAATGCCTTCCTTTTCAGTAGCCATTGGGCCTTAGATGTGCCCTGAAGTATGTATATTGTCCTATAGCGGAGTAAACCAATTTTAATAAAGTTTAGTTACTCATTTCCCACTGAAGAAATGACCCCTTAATTGTTGGGTGAATGACCAGAGTATCTCAGTTTCCTGGGATGGTCATCTCTGATCCTGTCTCTTTGATTTTTCAAAAACAGGGAAAATATACTTCTAACACATTCCTTCAACCACCTGTTCCACTTAGCAATATGGCTTAAAATAGATCTGGCTGTTGCTTGCAGTCAGGGTCATCTATAACTGGATCCAGTTTACTAGCTAATGCAGATCTAGTTCAACTTAACCACCCTGTGGCAGGAAGGCTATTTTAAGTCCCCTGGCCTTGCATAAATAACTGGGAGCTTAGGTCCTAGTTTGAAGAATCCAGCCTTTACTGTACTATAGACATTACTAGGTCTCCTACTCCACCCCTGCAGACCAGCCCCTATGGTACTCAAGAAAAGGCCAAAATATTGTCATCTCAAGCAAAGACCCATGTACAGAGATGCTCACCACAGTATTAGTTCTTGAAACAAAAAAGGAAAATCCAAATATGTGAGGGAATAGTTATAGAACTATGGCATATATATATATATATGTTAGACTGTTATAAAGCTATTTAAAATAGCCTTAATTGCATGAGAAAATGTTTGACATCATGATAAATGAAAAAAACAAGAATGCCTAAATGTTTATATATTATTCCTATTTTGTGTGTGTGTATATATAGTATGTAACATATAATATAGATTACTATATATTAATCTAAAGAAGTATAGTACCATGGTGATTATAAGTGATTTTAATTTTCTTTTTACCTATCTCTCTTTTCCCAATTCTCTACAAGCATCATTTTTAATCACTAAAAAAATAAAGTATTTTTAAAGAAAAAATTTATGAGCGGCAGTCAAGATAACAAAAACTATGCATACTGAGTAATCTTTGTTGGCCCAGTGCCTAGCTTTCAGTACTTTGTGTGAAGCTATCATCTTTGCCTCAAAGAGTAGCAGTGAGTGAGGCATTACAGAGAACACTATTGTGCTATCATATGCTGAGACCAGTAGCCAGAGAAAGCTTCTGACTAAAAAACCATATGAGACATGAAAACATCTGCATGTTTACATGAACTTTTCTTTCTTGATGGGAATGGCATCATTTAGATTTCAAAATCTTTATATAAATAAATACATATTTTATTTGAAGTCAAAGAGACATTATTAGAGTATTACTTAATAACAACATTCGCTTGGGGGGAAAAATACATATATATACACACATTATATATATATTGCTGGCATAGTACAACCTAAAATTTCTATGGAAGAGTAAAACAAAAATAGCCACAAAAGCTATTTTGGTAGAACACAGACAGAAATGCTTCAGGAATTATCTAGATATAGTAAAATAAGGTTGTTTTCTTGTATGGATCTCTATAGTGGTATATAATCTATCTTCACAAACTCTTATCAACTATACAGTGAATAAGAACACTGGCTTTAAAGTCAGATTGCCTGGGCTCAAATCCTGCCTTTACCACTTAGTATCTCTCTAACTCTGGGTAGATTATAATACCCACTGTTTGCCATATTTCCCTCATCTGTAAAATGGAGCTAATAATAGTGTTTACCTGGTAGGTTTGTTGCGATGATTAAGTGGGATAATATAAGCAAAGAAGCTTAGTAAGGGCTTGATAAATGTTAACTGTTGTTGCTACTGTTGTTATTATGTCTCCCCTATATGGTCTGTACCACTCTTCTCACATTATAGAGGGCTTTGGTTGGGGGCAGGGGAGTAGGCATATAGTTCAATGGAATAAAATAGAGAATCCAGATAGAGTCCCACATATATATGATCAATTAATTTGCAACATAGTCACCAAGGCAATTCAATGGAGAAAAGAGGTTTGTTTGTGGGTTTGGGGGTTTTTTCAATAAATGGTTTTGGAACAACTGGATATCATGGGGGGTGGGCAAGAAGAAACTCAACCCTTACCTCATACCATACACAAAAAGTAACTCAAAATGAAATATAGACCTAAATTATAAAAGCTAAAACAAACAAATCAAAAACTTCTAGAAGGAAACAGGAGTAAATCTTTGTGACTTTGAGATAGGCAAAGATTACTTGAACACAAAAAGCATGAACTTTAAAAGAAAAAATTTATAAATCGAGCTTCATCAAAATTAGAAACTTCTACCCTCTCAAAGATATTGTTAAGATAATGAAAAGTCAAGCCACAGACTGAAAGAAATTATTTTCAGTATACATCTCTGTCAAAGGATTTGTATTCAGCATATATAAAGAACTTTTTTTAAAAATATGTCTTTATTGATTTCAGAGAGAGGAAAGGAGAGGGAGAGAGAGAGAAACATCAATGATGAGAGAGTCATTGATCGGCTGCCTCCTGCACGCCCTCAACTGGGGATCAAGCCCTCAACCCGGGCATGTGCCCTGACCGGGAATCGAACCTCGATTGCCTGGATCCTAGGTTGACGCTCAACCGCTGAGCCACGCCCGGCCGAGCAAGAACTTTCATAACGAAATAATAAAAAGACAATCTACTTTTTTTTTAAACTATGTCTTTATTGATTTCAGAGAGAGGGAGAGAGAGAGAAAGAAACATCAATGATGAGAGTCGTTATTGATCAGCTGCCTCCTGCAGGCCCCCCACTGGGGATCACTCTCGAAACCCAGACATGTGCCCTGACTGGAATTGAACCTCGATTTCCTCATTCATAGGTCGATGCTCAATCACTGAGCCACACTGGGGGCAAGATAATCTACTTGTAAAAATGAGCAAAAGATTTGGATACTATGCAAAAGAAGACATGAATGATCAATAAACACAAGAAAAGATGCTTAATATCATTAGTCATTAGGGAACTATAAATCAAAACCACAGAGAGACATCATTACAAACCCATTACTGTGACTTGAATTAAAAAGACTGACACTACCAAGTGTTGACAAAGGATGTAGAGCAACTGAATCTCTCATCTACTGTGAATGTAAAATGGTGCAACCACTTTGCTAAGCAATTTAGAATTTTTCTTAAATTCTTCAGTACACACTGAGCATGGACCCAGCAATTCCCCTCCCAGGTATTTACCCAAGAGAAATGAAAACATACGTCACAAAAAGATTTGTACACAAATATTTAAAGCAACTTCATTCATAATAGCCCAAACTTGGAATGAATTCAGATATCCATCAATAGGTGAATGGATAAACAATTTGCAATATATCCTTACTATGGAATACTACTCGGCAAATAAAAAGCAGTAAACAACATTATTCTGACAGAAAAAAAGCTAGAACACAAAAGAGTATATATTATGTTTCCATTTATATGAAATTATAGAAAAGACTAATGTATAGTCATAGAAATCAAATCAATGGTTGGTTAAGATGGGGGTTTACTGACTACAAGATGTGAACTTCTGTTACGGAAATGTCCTGTACCCTGCTTGTGGTGGTGGTTACATGGTGTACACATTTTAAAAATTCATCAGACTCTTAACTTAAAATAGGTACATTTATTGTATGTAAATTATATCTTAGTGAGGTTGATTTTTTTTAAATGTTCCTCCTAAAATCAGACTTCCGTAGACTTCAAAGATAAGTGTGATTTCAGAATATTTTCACAGATTGTTTTGTGGTTTTTAATAACGTTGTTACATTAGAAAATAAATTATAGTTTCATTGTGGAAACCCAGAATCTGTATATTTTAAGGTAAGGAAGATATGTTTTCTTCTGTATTAATTTGTCTGTTACAAATAAGGAACCTAAATATGATGGACTAATGTGTGATTTTTTAAATACCTTGTTCCTGGTGTCCAAAGGCGCTGTGTGGACAGGCGACAACAGAGCGAAATGGAGTTACCTGAAGATTTCTGTGCCTATGTTACTCACTCTCAGCATCACCGGGATCTCTTTTTGTGGAGGTAAGATGATGTCCTCAGGCTTGACGTGAGAGGAAATAGAAAGGGTGTTTCCGCCAAGCCTGGTCTCCAATCCCTTTTCGTTGGCTATTTTGGGATAAATGTGGGAAAGAGGAAGTGAGGAAAGTGAAGGGTGGCTTCAAAGCTGTTTGTGACTTATCTGAATTGCAGACATGAAGTCAGTCAGAAAGGGAGCCAGAGTGCGCTTTCCCTCATTCTCCTGCTGCTTCCTCCTTAGCCACTTTCGGTAACTGAGTTTCTCTTCCTAAAACATGCCTTTTCTTCTTGAAAGAAAAATTGAAAGAACTACAAAGAATTTTGAAAATCAGAAATCTGCCTTATAGAAATTCTTTTTACTCAGCAAGTTTAAAATTCTGTGACATATTTTTACTGTTAAAAAAAAAAGATATGCTCTTGGGAAGGATAAATTTAGTTAAAATAAAATTCTCTAATGTGCTGCCTTCACAAATCCTAATAATTCTCTGCAGATGAGAGATCTCAATATGGAAGGTACTCAGCATGGTTACAGTTCCAGCTGCTCCTTGTTTTCTCTAGGAATAGAAGTGACTAATATCACTTTTTGATAGGTGTGTTTTTATGGTATTGGTCCGCATACAAGGAATATGTATCCTGTTTAAGCACTAAACATGAAATTCTACTTAAACCTCTAATTCTCATTTCTGTTTCTCTTTAGTTATTTCTGTAATTTTTATCTTGCTTTAGCTGTTGCTTTCAAAGGAAATCAATTGCCAACCCTCCACAGCCCTAAATACAGACTTATTGAATCATACAGACATTTTGCAATTTCTGGGTTACCTGGGTTCAGGAACATACCTGAAAGTTTACCTTGCAGCAAAGCCTCTGACCTTGACAAGAATAGAACATAAAAAGGGCGTACTGTCAGATCCCCAAACAGGCTCTTTTTCACTATGTGCTCCCTAATTTGAGGCCACCGTTTTATCCTGTCATTTTGAGTGCGCACACAGCACGCTTCTCCTGTCAGTCTTCAAGGCCTTGTTTTACTTGCGTGCATCGTTTGTTAGAAGCCTGGTTGCCTCACAAGCCTTTCTTTGACTAACGAATCAGCTGATGTCGGCGGCTTCATCGGGGATCCAGAGGCAGAGCTGCTAGTACGTTGGTACCAGGCCGGAGCCTACCAGCCCTTCTTTCGTGGCCACTCCACCATAAACAGCAAGCGACGGGAGCCCTGGCTCTTTGGGAAGGAGCACACCCGGCTCATCAGAGAAGCCGTCAGAGAGCGTTACGCCCTCCTGCCCTACTGGTACTTGCTGTTCTACCGCGTGCATGTGACTTCTGAGCCCGTCATGAGGTAAATCGGCTTCACCTGTCGGAGGCCCCGCAAATAGTCTAACCACCCGATAGGGAAAGGAGTAATTACACAGCGATTGCCATGTGTTTAGTCAAGGGTCACTCAGCTTATTGAGCACCAAGAGCAGGGTGCTGGCAATGGAGATAGCAGAAGATAACTAAAGAAATCTTTTGCTGCCTTGTGATTCAAGTGTTAATATTTGATATGAGACAGAAGTAGAGCTTTTTCAAAGAGAAATGAAATTACTTTTTAACTGAATTCATTCAATATTTAACCCAAAAGCATCCTCTCATGAAGAGCAATTTATTCTGCCAGTCTTAGGCTCTGTCTTACCCTTGGGGCTAAACTGTTCCAAGTTTGAGGTGAACATTTTTCCTGGTATATAAATTATATCCTGATTGTATTTGGAAGGCAGATATGAAAAACCGACCATCTAGGTTAGAGGAGGAATCACACAGGGACGCACACAGTACCCCAAGATTTCTGGACCCGCCTTCCTAAACTGGCTCAGATAAAAATCACCTGGGAGCTTTTCTAAAATGCAGATTCCAAGGCCACACCGCCAGACCTACTAGGAATCTCTTTGGGAAGGTCCCAGGGATCTATATTTGTTAGAACTTTCCCTGGTGATTTTAGACATCAGCCAGTTTTAGAGACCACTGCTGAGTTACCATTTTCAGTAGGAAAGGGAATACATTGTTACAAAGGCTAGTGAATAAACTAAAACCAAGTCTCTTATTAAAAAATATCTTTTCCTCATGAAATTGAAAAATATTAGAATCATTAATATTCAGATACATAGATATTGAAAGTTTTCTTTATAAGCCCAAATGCCCTTTAGATAATTGTGTACAATAACAATAGAACCAAAACTACACAACAGTCTCTCAAAACTCCAAAAATGTTGCCAGCTTGAAAACAAGAAAAAACAGTTCTTTTTATTTAAATAGGTAATAATTAAGGATGCATGAAAGGCAGTGACAGCATGAAAAAAAACGGAACATTATAAAATGGTTTTACAAACATTTAATTTGTTTTATACCAAACGTGTTAGGCATTTGTACTTGCACAAAACTCTGATTCTGCCTGTCAAAGTAATATTTATTTATTGTTCAACAATTAGAAGGAAAAATTGCAGGTACCAGAATTCTCAGTCTCTCATTGTGAGATTTAAGCTAATTGATAGCTCTTTCACTTAAGAAAAATGTAAGTAATCATAACAATTGTTCATAAAATCTTGAATCATATGAAGAGTCTTGGGTCTTTGGCTTTTTCCAGTTTCATCTGAATAGTTACAAAACTGAAAGTATAAGTGATTGAATTATAATAAAACATCTAACGATGTTGAAGTAAGAATTTTTTTTCCTTACCCCAGGCCTCTGTGGGTAGAGTTCCCTGATGAATTAGAGACTTTTGGTGTGGAAGATGAATACATGCTGGGTAAGCATTTCTTGATTAATTATATTTATAATAAATACTGTAATTATGTTATTGTTATATTTTCTAGTGTAAGAGCAGTAAAAAAAAATCCCTAATTTCAAAAGAGCCAAAAAAATAAGAGATTTCATCTCCAAGATTAGTAGTGCATTAGTAAGATCATAGCTATTAGCTCTTATCATATTAACTTTAAATAAATCCATTATATTTGCGAATGCAATTGGTATTCTTGTTCTGGGTCCACTCCTAAGTCTTGTTATACCATTAAAGGGAAGGGGAGTAGAGCCCTGGCCGGTGTCACTCAGTAATTAGAGCTAGGCCCTCACACCAGAGGGTCTCAGGTTCGATTCCCAGTCAAGGGCACATACCTGAATTGCAGTTCAATCCCTGGCCTAGTCAAGGGCAAGTGCAGGAGGCAACCAATCAATGTGTCTCTCTCACATCGATGTATGTCTTTCTCTCTCTTTTCTCTCCCCCCTTCTTCCTTCCCTTCCACTCTCTCTGAAAATCAATGGAAAAAATATCCTCTGATGAGGATTAACCAAAAAAAGGGAAGACAAGTAGAAAAAAGTAGACCTGATGGTTGTAGTAAAGACACCCCACATGCAAAATAGGATTAGTTGGGTAGGGGGCGGGGAAGGTGGCCTCTTCTTTAACAAGGGTTAGCCACCAAATCCAGAGCATGGAAGTCTGTCGTCTTGGCAATAGCGCTCAAAAAGCCAGGCTCGACGGAGTTGCCCAAAAGGTGGAACTCTAGAGAGTGGAAACCCCAAAATGTAAAATACCTTGCTCTTTAGGTCTCTGCTCATCCTTAGGTCACAGTTGAAATAGCTACTTTCTTGGAGAACGTTTTCCTGACCAAAACTGCCTCCTAATACCTAATTCCACCTACTTAAGTCCAAGTCAGTCCCTCCCATTACATAACATTTATTTTATTTTGTACTTAGCCTTTTTGGTATTCATCTTAACTCTAATTTATTTGTAATTATTTATTTAATATCTGTCTTCATTGACTGTAAACTCCATGAGGGCAGGGACCATGTCAGCCTTATTTGCCACTATATCCCCAGAGCTTAGCAGAGTGCCTGGTACTCAGTAGTCACTCTATAAATATTTGTTAAATTAAAGACTGAATTCATAAATGGGTGAATTTTACACACATGTAGTACCATGGTCAAAACAAAATTAATAATTCAGATTGTGTTTAGGAGACTTTTAGCCTTCCAATGATAATTGCCCAAGGAAGAAGATCTGAGTGTCCACACTGACCACACTTCTGGGTAACAGTTGTAGGCTCACCATTACCAACATCACTTTATAGCAAATAATGAAGCACTTGGAGAGTTCAATGGTGCTTTCAGACTACTGACACACTTGCAGTTATGTCACCAGAAATGGACTGGACCCAGAGCAGGTCTGCCTTGGGCCAGCCTTTAGTGTATGGGTTCTTGACTTTGTGCAGAAAAGATTTCACAATGTCAGTCCAGGTGATTTTGAGAGAGTATTTATTAAAGCTGAGGACAGTGAAACAAAGGAAGGGCTTAGGATAGAAGAAGCAACAGGAGAGAACCTAGGCAGTGCTCTCCTTTGGCTCTCTAGAAACATTATAGGAAAGAAGTAAGCCATGCTGGGCTGTGTGGACTCACTGAGAAGTAAAAATCACAGTGACAGAAGTGAGCCAAAGCAAGGCTGCTGTTGGCTCACTTAAAAGTCAGAAAAAAGGGGGCCTTGGAAAGAGGTTCAGGGAGTTACCCCAGGATAAGCTGCCACTGCCCACTGCTCCCCTGGTTGTAAGTTTTAACGGGACCCTTAGAGCTTAGGAGAAAGAGAACAAAGATACATACCTGAGAAAGAAAGGGGGAAGAAAGGTGTGGGCTCCAAGAGGGAGCCCAGGCTGGCTTCCTTTATCTTGAGGGGGTTTATCTGTTTTCTAAAGGTAGGGAATTTCAGAGGAGGTCTCAGGAGAAGATCTGAATAGAATATTCATTGGCTTTCAGGGTCATGGTTTCCACTGATTGGTCAGCGCTGGGAGAGGGGGTCATTAGTCATTGCATCTGGCCTGGAGCTGAAGCACAACGGAGGCCTAAATGTCACCTCTAGTTTGACCAAAACACTGTCCCTGTGGTCAACAGACCCCAGGCTTTGTTCCTAAGATTATTTGATGTGGGTCTGAACTTCATTGTTCTGAGGACCCAAGGCTTTGTTCCTACGATTATTTGATGTGGGTCTGAACTTCATTGTTCTGAGGGCCCAGTGCTTAAGGGAGTGGTCATACAAGGGCTTGTATGGGAGTTATATAAGGTTATTCTCCTGTACTCTTGTTCTTCCTCTAAGGGGGTCTAAAACCACATAACTAGTGATATGCCAAGGAAGGAAAGCTCAGGGGAGGATCCAAACCTCATGACCAGCAATGTGAAAAGTCAGGGGTTTTAAACCACATGAGCAGTGATATGCTAGGGGAGGAAAGGTCACCTTCGTTTTCCCAATTTTGCCCATTGCTAGGCACCTGGGGCTTTTGCCCTGGTCACCTTCTGTACCTGGCCCATCATCCTTGCTCTGCCATCTTTCTAACTGCTTACCACACAAAAAGAGACTGTGGGTCCCTCCCTAGAACCTCAATATACTGTAAATGGATTAGTGATAAGTAATCATACAGTCACCTCTGTGAGCACCTGTCCTTTTTCTAGCAATGCATCTCTCTGATGAACCATTGGTTCAACTCACCAAGGTCTCTACCTTTAAGAAGTTCACAGTCTAGTGGTCCTTAAAATTACAAAAGCACTCAATTAAAAGGAAAGGATGTTTTCAGACCTCTTATACTAGTATTCAACTTTATTTCTTCTCCATTTTTCAGGAAGTGCTTTATTGGTTCATCCAGTTACAGAGCCAAAAGCTACTGTGGTTGATGTGTTTCTCCCTGGATCAAATGAGGTAAGAGTAAGTAACAGTCACATATTCTATGTCTCATATCGCATCCCTCATTCAGATGAATTAGCCTGTTAGGAAATAGATTTCTTCATCATGCAGTTGTGAAGACAGCCCAAATGACTATAGCAACTACAGATTCTTGTAAGCCATGACCACTGTCTTCAGAGGTCAAGAAACTTAATGGAACAGTGGGGAGAAAGATGAATAGATGATGATAGCAGGGAGGATCAAAATGGTTCTTTATCTTTACACTTTGACTTGCATAAGTGACTCCTTATAAACACATTGAGGTTTTAGGTAGGAATAAATTTTTAGTCTACTAAGAGGTATCAAATTCTTGGGGAAAACAAGTATAAGAAGACTTTGCTCTTTTCTGACTCTATCTGAATCCTGAGTTTTGGCACCAAAAGCTGATCTCCAGACATTCACCAAGGTGGATAAAAAATAACAACAGTGACTTCCCTCTCTGCCCCTCCAGCCTTCTACTCTTGTATTGGTTATTGTCATTGATTATTGCCATTGTATAAAATATCATCCTCTTGGAGCCCAGGGCACTGAACCCAGGCAGGGAATGGAGCAGAGGTGGGAATAAGCCAAAGGACTGCAGAGCAGAGAGCCAGTCATGGGTGATAAGAGCAACAGTCTCCAGAGACAGACCAAGGATATATCCGAAGGGGCTAGGAGAAGAGACAGGGCAGAAACTCAGGGCATCAGGCCACGGAAAGAGTGTATGGAATGGAGAGCAGGAAGGAGACAGATCCTGGAGAGGGTCCTTGAGCACTAGAGCATTGCCACAGGCTTTAGCAGACAGGGGAAGGAAGCATGAAGGATACTGAACTAACATGGGACCATCATGGCAAGATAGTGTTGGACTGTCAAGGCAAGTGATGAGGTAGCTGAACCAGCCATGCTCACTGCTCGGTACTGTCAAGTGCTGTCATGGCAACACCAGGAAACCAGTGCCAGTGTTCTCCCTCCATCAAGCTTTACATGTTTGGTTGCTGCATTTGTTCCTTTTTTTTTTTTTTTTTTTTTTAGTNTCACTGCTCGGTACTGTCAAGTGCTGTCATGGCAACACCAGGAAACCAGTGCCAGTGTTCTCCCTCCATCAAGCTTTACATGTTTGGTTGCTGCATTTGTTCCTTTTTTTTTTTTAGG